TTTCGTTCTCTGCTGCCTGAACGAGTGAAGGAGGCAGACAGAGAACGAAAGGAGGTCGCGTAGCTGAGGCAAAGGAGACTGCAGCTTCCTTCCTTCACACGTTTGGGCAATGGGGGGGGGCTTTCTCACACGCCTTTGGAGAAAGAAAGAAGGCGTGCGAGAAGGCCCCTTCTACTGCCTCTCAGAGGGGGGGCGATTGGTGAGCCAGCCAATTAGTGAGCAGTGGGTGGAGAAAGCATGGTGCGGATGGGCGGGGCGAGCAAGCAAGCAAGCGGTGACCGATGGACGGGGGAGGAAGCGAGGGGGGCAGGTGGGAGGGAGCGTTCTGGTACTGTGCCACCGGATGAATGGGTTCCAAAAGGTATGCTAAATTTCACGAACAGGTTCTAGCGTACTGGTGAGAACCTGCTGAAACCCACCCCTGGTTTACAGATAGTGACTGATAACTTGAATGAAACTCAGAAGGTGACACAGAGTTAGTGAATCTTGCAAAGAAGTGATGTTACGTGTGTTCTGACCTAGGCTTCCTGAGAAAGCATAAATCACACTCTTAGTCCCCCAAACCCTCTTTTATTTATACAGCTGTGAATTGTGGTCATTCACAGACTGTAATGATTCACAAACAGAGAGTCCAACTCTTGTGAAGAGTCCTACAGATGTTGCCACAGTCTTTCAGGATAATGTTGATAAGCACCCACCTTTATCTCCCTTGAAACGCTGCCAGAGACCTAATTGCCAATTAGTTTTGCAAGGTCAAATGGAACTTCTCAGAGCTTGAACCAACCAGGTAAACTAATTGCTTCCTAAAAAGGCTCACATCCGTTTGCTCCTCTTTTGTGTCTTAAGGGAGGGACCAATCATTTCCAAGCCTTACTCCCAAGTCACCCCTTTTTTCTCAATTGTTCTTGCCTTCTGGCAGCTCTGCGCATGCACACCCTGGCAACAGGCTCACACTGTTCTTCTGCCTCACTGATTTCAGACTCCAGAGNCCAACGACTATGGCACAAACCATCACTGATAATTCCCGTGGTAATTGGCACACTGGGGGCTATTCCAAAAGCACTGGAATTACATTTAAAACAGTTAAAACAGTTAAAAATTGACAAAATCACCATCAGTCAAATGCAAAAAGCCGCACTGCTTGGATCTGCACGCATATTACGAAAATACGTTATGACGTCCTAGGCCCCTGGGTGGGGCCCGACTAGTCACCAATGCCAAATCCAGCAAAACAAGTGGCCGCTGTGATACAATTGTATAATATCAATGGATAATTTTCATGAGCTCTGTTTGTGGCATCACTGAATTTATGAGATGGCTATATCTATTTATATTGCTTCCCCCCATTTCTTTCTATTTTTAAAAAATAACTTTTATAGAAGTTTTTCAACAGAATGAAAAAACTTTGAATTAAAGAAGAATAAAGAAAAGTAACTGGAAGGTGGAAAGAAATTTAGAAAAAGGAAAAGAAAAGTAAGATTCTACAGAAGAGACTTCTGAACTTCTTAGCAGCTGTTATAAATAGATTTATATTTTATCTTCTCTCTCCACGGTTAGCTCATAATGTCCTTCTTTCCCTAAGCTGCCCTTTCTAATCATCGGACCCATAAATCACAACTTCATTTTTCTCTCTTTTTTCAGTCAAACGTCCGTAAGAGGTTTCCAATCACAAATAAATATGGTTACTGATCTTTCTCTAACCAAGCAAGTTAATTTTGCCATCTATGTCACTTTCACTATGCATTGTTGTGGGCATCTCAGAATCTTTCCATTTTTACTCATATAGAAATCTCGCAGCAGGGATCATATTAAAAATAAACAGTAATATGTGACTCATTTTTAATTGACTGTCCAGTAATCCCAGGGTTTGGCTTCAGTTGAAAATTGATGTTTAAAATTCTTTATTATCTTTCTATATATTTGAACCCAAAGTTTTCTGGCTGTTTTAGAAGTCCACTGGGTATGATCAAATGACCATTTGTGTGATGTTTCCGACATACATTTGAAATACCTATACGCTTTCTAGAGAATTTTTCTGATTTCCTGTCCCTTAAATTCATTTCATCCTGATTTTTGCATGAAGTTTTCCCCCAGTGTCAATAGATTTTTGCCTGCTTTTCTCCATACACACATAGCTATATACCCGCACAATCGCACATGGACACACACATACATAGACACAAAGAGGAGAGAGAGAGAGAGAGAGAGACTTTTGGTTTTGCATACTGCATTCCTGAATTAATGCATGTTTAGACATTCTTTTTACTAATCTGCTGATCTTTTGATAAGAGAACTGAACTTGCAAAATATAGAAAATAAACAGATTTCTCTTCCATTATTCCAACTGAGCATGCCAAATTTGACCTGATGATTAACAACAGCTTTGTCTTGAATATACTACTTGCCATTAAGTTGATACGTTGAAGAATATTGGCATGCCACCAGTTTCACATACGTACTTAAACAAGGCAAGTTTCATGTCTGTGAAAACAAGGTTTCATATTTTCCTTATGCGAAATATTTAAAAATGCCTTTAAATAATGCTTGCCCAGGAAGCAGGAGGAGAAGCAGCAGGAGGACAACGAACAATTTGTTCATTTGCAAAATGGGTTTGTTCAACAAACTAAAGTTTGAATAAACCCATTTTAGCTACAAACCATAATGTAAACAATGTAGTTTGACTGTAATCAATATGCTTTTTTTTTAATAGCAGGGAACCGTCATGGCCACTCTGAGTTTAAAGCCAGGCCAGAGGTTCACACTGCCAGATTGGCATGTCAATTCTGACCTCCTCTCGACCAATGCTGAGCGCCAACGGTCTGCTTCCCACCAGATCAGGCAAGAGGCTCGGATCCTTCGCAATGAAACAAATAACCAGGTAGGCAAATGCTGGCAGGGGAATTCTGGGAGTTGAAATCCACATGTCTTGGAGAAACAATACAGTAATTGTTCAAGGGTATCTGTGAAGATCTGCATGAAATGAGTATGCTGCCCAAAATCTACTCATTTGTGAATTGGGCAGTATATAGATTGAGAATAAAAAACAGAATAAGAATAAGAACAGAACAGAATAAGAAATATAACAGAACAAAACAGAACAGAATAGAATAAGGAATAGAATGGAATGAAATGGAATGAAATGGAACGAAATGGAACGAAATGGAACGAAATGGAACGGAACAGAACAGAATAAGGAACAGAACGGAATAGAATAGAATAAGGAATAGAATAGAATGGAATGGAACAGAACAGAATAATTTATTGGATACTGTAAAACCCCCATTCCTTCCTCACTCCAGGGGAAGGTTACTACAAAATCCCCATTCCCTCCTGATCAGCTGGGACTTGGGAGGCAGAGAATAGATGGGGGCAGGGCCAACCAGAGGTGGTATTTGCCAGTTCTCCAAACTACTCAAAATTTCCGCTACCAGTTCTCCAGAACTGGTCAGAACCTNATGGCTTGATGGGCATGGCAGGGGGAAGGATACTGCAAAATCTCCATTTCCACCCCATTCTGGGGCCAGCCAGAGGTGATATTTGCCAGTTCTCCAAACTACTCAAAATTACTGTTTGGTGGATTATGATCCCACAATTCAATGTGAATGGGAATACAATATGATGTGTTGAACATACTGTCCCTGGTGGCTGACTGCGGTATTGCATATTCATTGGGAAACAGAACAATGTAGTGAACCTATTTCCCCCTGGTGGCTGAATTGGGTATTGCAGGCTCAATTTCAAAAATATGCATTAAAGCTGTACTGTATAATTGACTGTAATAAGGAGTTGAACCTATACACTTTACCGTCTATTGATGGTTCACTGAGGTATTGCAGGATGATTAGGAAAATAGGACAATGTAATACAATTAATAGGATGTACAGTCTTGCCCCCCATCTTATTAAAGTATTGCCAATTCATAGAGCAATATAAGTCCATGGACACCAACTGACTGTCAGAGCATATGATGAAAACTCCTTACTTTCACAACACAAGGACAGACTTAACCATATTTTTCATTGGGAAACTGTAAGAATCCTAAGCCAAGCTAATTCCAAAAATGCTAGAGAATTTCTGGAAGCCTGGAATTCAAAGAAATCAACAAGCACGTAGAGATAAACAACATTGACAGATCATTCAAAAAGCTAAAAAGGAAACAAAAAGACCAAAACACCACCTTGTCAGTAGTCAACATGCATATAAACAGAGATTAACATCAAGATTAATACTAGACCAATAGTCAAGCAGCAAACAATACCTTAACCAAGGAATTATCAGCCCAGACAAAAAAAGCGAACAGTAAAGAAGAGCCTAATTAAACCAGTGTTTCTCAACCTTGGCAACTTGAAGACGTCTGGACTTCAACTCCCAGAATTCCCCAGCCAGCGAATGGCATTCGCTGGCTGGGGAATTCTGGGAGTTGAAGTCCAGACGTCTTCAAGTTGCCAAGGTTGAGAAACACTGAATTAAACAACCAAGAACATTTCCACTACCAGTGACAGGGTAAGTCACTTGTATATAAACAGAGAGTGAATCCCACTCCCTTTTAATACTGATCATATTACCTAGCTGGGTACCACTTTATAATGCCTTGATAAGACCACACTTGGAGTATTGCATCCAGTTTTGGTCATCACAATATAAAAAAGATGCTGANAAAATTGAGTAAAAAATTGGCCATTTTTTGCTCATTTCTGCCCTCCCCAGCCCTCAGGAGCTCTTTGAAAGCCTCCTACAAGCTATGCATGACCATTTTGGTGAAGGGGCGGGGTTTCAGGAGGCAAAAATGCTGTATTCAGTGTATAAGATGCACCCAGATTTTCAGCCTCTTTTTTGAGGAGAAACGGTGCGTCTTATGCTCCGAAAAATATGGTAATTCCCACAGAAACGTTTATGAGTCTATTGTCTCCTACTGTTTCTCTCCAACCTTGTTCTGGCTGATCCTCGGAGGGCTGCCTGTTTCTCCTGCTTATTCTATCTATGGTGACCTCCCTTTTCAGATGAAGGAGGCAGCAGAACATGCCCTCCAAGCTAAAAACCTGCCGTTGGACGTGGCCATTGAAAACCTCACTTACCGTGAGAGTCGTCGGGCCATTGATGTAGTGAAGGACCATGTGGAGGATGAGCTGCACAAGGAAGTGGAAGTGATTGATGCCACCAAGAGAGACCTTCAGCAGAAAGTCAGCGAGGCTTTTGAACAGCTCTGGTAAGTCAAAAAATTCTAGGGGGCAAGCAGAAAGTAGTTATGGGGATCTTGAGGTAGTTTCATGGACTGTGTCTCATGAAGACAAAGATTGTCTTTGTTCTAATGCAGTCTTGGTTGATTGGTTCTCAGCCTCTTGCAGGAGGCCCGGCAGCAGTTAAATTTTGATCACCGAGGGAAGAAGGAAGCTCTGGAGATCGACAACACCTGTGTTTCTCTCAGTGTCAACTCTCCCAATATCTCCTACAAAGTCAACCCCACTCGGCTGCCAAATGGGTAAGATTAAATGTCTAGAACAGAGGTCTTCAAACTTGGCAACTTGGCGGCTATGCTGGCTAGAGAATTCTGGGAATTGAAGTCCATATGTCTTAAAGTTCCCAAGTTTGGAGACCCCTAGTCTAGAAAAAAGAGATGGAAAGCTTGACCAATAAGAAATGAATGAATGAATGAACGAACCATTCCGGTGAATTAATCTGACTTCCTTTTGGTTCCATTCAAATGGCAAATGGGATTTCTACATTTATAGTACCTGGTGGAAATCCATCCATTCTTCTAACAGTGTGTTTTAGGCAGCTTCTCCTTTGTGCTATTTTAAGTCTTTGGGTATTTTTATGACTCTATTTTATTTCCAGCCGCAAATCACACTGGCAACATACACAGCAACATATCCCTCATCGGTTAAAACCCATAAAAGTAGTTTATAAGTGGGTGAGATTTTCACTAAATGCCTTAGTTATATTCATTCAGACTTTTATGGCCTTGAGCAAAAATTCCTTCAACCTGGAAGTTCTGTCTCTCATTCCACTTTGATAGGATTTGCATGGGAAAGTATAAAAGGATGCAGGTCTGCCCTGTTTCCAGTTCAACAGATTTCCCATACTTTCCCAATTAGTCAAATCTTATATATTTGTGTATTTGGATTTATGTGGCCACCCAACTCAAATAATGCCACTTTGGGCAATTTACCCAAAATGGCATAAATAAAAACAACAACCAACAATCAAATCAATAACAGATGATCTGGCTCACACTACCTGCTGTCTGCTGAGAACTTAATTCATCCATATCCAAACAATGAGCAAATAGTTATGTTTTTAAGACTTTCTTCAAGGCCAGCTCAATCTGAGCCAGCTGAGCACTAGAGAGATTACTCAAAGTCACTGAAAAGCCACCCCATGTAGTTCCCAGGAGGGGACCCCATCTCGGTCCACCCTATCAGAGGCAGTTCCAGAAGTAAGCCATGTAGGGTTTACAGCAGTGATGGGTTTCATTTTTTTTTTAGAACCTATTCTGTAGGTGTGGCCTATTTTGTGGGTGTGGCTTGGCAGTCATATGACCCGGTGGGAGTGGCCAACTTGTAA